TTGAGTGGAATGTTGGGTGTCGGGTTTGGTTTTGGTGTTGTTGTTGGCGGGAATGGGTGTGTTTCGGGGAGGTTGTTGCCAGTTCTATGATGTGTTGTGGATTGGGTGAGGTTCAAAATGTTGGCGGGGTGGAATGACGTCGTAGGTAGTGTGCACATGATTTGGAGTCGGTGGGAGGGGGTGGTTAAGGAAGCGATGGTGGGGCGAGAGTCAGTGGCAAAGGGGAAGGCCACGGGCTGAATGTGGGGTGGAAAGGGCAGTTGAGTGGCCAGTTGAGTGTCGGGCGGCATGGAAGCCGACGGTAAGAGGCTGTTGGAAGAGGCAATGGAAGTGGGCGGAGACACAGCGGGGGGTCCCGTGATACAGAAGAAGGGGGCTGAAAGAGAGCCGACGGCAAGGCGGAACTTGGAGATGAGGAGAAAACCGCCAATGTCACGGCGGAGCATGAGATTGTAGGCTTAGGTGCGAAACCAGGCACGAGTGTGGGGTCCGCTGCGAATGGATTTCGCAAGGAGATCGGAGAAGGAGTCCGAGAGGTTGGACGGAGCGGTGTATTTGGCAGGGGCGTGGTTTGGGTCGGGGGTGGGCGGGGGGAAGCGGCAATGCGGGTGGGTGGATTGCATGTAGCAGGTTATTCAGGTTGGGGGGAGGTGGAGTAGGAGATTTGATTGTGGTAGGCGGGGCGAGGGTTGAAGAAGGGGGTGGGCGATGGCGGCCGTCGGAGGAAGAAGGGGATCGTTGTCGGTTTGGAAGAAGGGAAAAAGGGGCGCGGGACAGTGAAGAGCCAGGGCGGGCGAGTGTGGATGCGTGGAGGCATGGTAGGAAACGAAGGCTTTGTACATCAACTGTTGTTGGTGTACAAAGACAAGAGAATAAGCACTTGGTGCTTGTTATCTTGTTGGTGCCAGCTCATCCAATGCCAATGCTGGGTGAGCAGGCACCACCTACAGTTACCTGCCGGTCATGCTGGCTTTAAGGTTGTGGACCCTCATTTGCTCTGCTACTGGTGCTTCACTATGACTGGAGTTAGTCTCTGCCGGATCTTCATCCAGCAACATACTCAGTAGTTGTACTGACCGGTACCAGTACCACTGAAACTCCGCCTTGGAGCTTGCGGTGAAACTCTTGAAAGCGGAGAAACTCATTGACGGTACCACCGGTACTCTGAGCAGCGACAGTGGTACCCACAGGCAGTACTCACCTACAGCACAGTACCGGTATGCTGTCGCTTATTCTTCACTCACTGACATATCTAGCTAGCTAGCTAGCTAGTAGCAAGTGGGTACATTCCTAGCTAACTAGCTGCTTGGATTTGCAACCAGCTAGCTAGCCCCGGTTGCAGCCCGGAAGTCTTTGTGGCTGTCCTTGTTCCGAAATTTGATGGCAAGCTAGCGCCAAAAAAGAAGCAACGCTCTGCAAGGTACTCTGAGTGTACTAGTACTGTCTAGCTAGCTAGTAGCTAGGTAGCGGAGGATGTCATGAGATAAGACTGTGGGTCCGGTGTTTGCTGGGTTGTCCAAGATTTAGCTAGTGGTACCATTTTGGATCCTGTGGACAGCAACCGGCAGGCTGCTGACTAAAAGTGGTACCATCCCAAGAGCCAAGATCTAGAGAAGTACCTTTTTGGATCATGGAGATAGCAAACTGCAGGCTGATGGTGAGGTACTAGTACATGTAGTAAAAGACAGGGCCGAGGTAGTGTGAAGGCGTGTGCGTGTGGAGAATTCCAATCCAAAGATTGCCACTCAGAGCAGAGATAAACCCGGGATAGGTTTTGCCAGCAGATTTGCCAGCAAACATGTAGATACCCCTTTCAATGCCTTCTCTAGATTCTTAAGTACGAACTATTGTGTGCTACTAGCTAGTGTAGAATTGAATGAATGAATGTATTTTGTTGAAAAAGGGAAAGTTAGATGATTGATTTAATGCTTTAAAAGCAAGGATTTGGCTTGAGGAAGGTGTAATGATAACAATTGTATGCATACTGCGGATGCAACAACAGACAATGTGGTGGTGTAATTTGGCTTTTTTTGGATTGGTCATGTGAGAGAGTGTCAAATTTTTTATTTGGGAAGCGAGAGAGAGAGAGAGAGAGAGAGGTGGTAACAATTGGATTTTTCTTGTATGTTTCGTTTGTTTGTACAAAAACAGAACCCGCCCAGTTAGTTTACAACTGATACAAGACCTGTTGTTGGAGTTGCCTGGAGGACTGTTCGATGGAGTTGAGGACACCATGGACATTGGAAGAGCGAGAATACTGGTTGGTATTGGGAGTTTTGAGAGTCAAACTCCTCCTGGTTTCTTGACTGCGCTTCATGGATTCAGCCAACTTGCGGATATGGGCTTGGTAGCGTTCTTGGAGAGGATCGTCCGACGAAAGCTTGGGGTTAATTCCCTGTGTGGGTCCATCCAACGAGGGAAGAAGGAACTTTTCTTGGTTTTCTTGATCCATAAAGACCAATTCTTCCACAGGTCCAGTGGGAGACAAGCAGGGGTCTCCTCCTCCAAAAATGGAATCATCCAACAAGTTAGATCCAATTTGTTCATCCAATTGCATGATTTCATCCATGTCATCGTCCGCCTTCCATTGGGCAAAGACCATGTTGGCTTCTTCGTTGGATGTAGCAGAAAGTTCTTCATCTTGAACCACCATCAACTCATCGTTGATTTCAAAGGGGAAGTCGTTGGTGAACATCATGGTTGAGATTAGTTTCTTAATTTGAGAGTGGTTTAAAAAGGTGGAAGTTTGCTTTTTAGTTTCGCAGTTGAGAAAATTGTGGGGAGATGAAGGCCTGCAATTATTGAAGTTTATCAAAAAAGTTTGCTTGTGAACTCCCAAGTGGTTGTTGTTGTGGATCATCCAAAAGCCTCGGACGATTGCCTACCGTAACCTCCGTCGAATCCACTTGATCCACGTTCATTGGACATTTTGGACCCTTATCCATGATCCGCATGCAGGCTTTGGCAGAAGATCCTCTTCGCTTTTTGTGGGAGTACGTAGGACTCCTGTAGCCCAAGTACTAGGAATACCTTCGCTTCCCACTGTCCAACAGCAGAGAAGCTACCCAAGGCAGTTCCGGTCCATGCTTACCAGTGACCTTCCCGGTTCTCACCGGTTTTCAAATTTTTGTCAATCCATTTCGGACGGTCACAAGTGTGGAAGAATCCTGGTTGCCAGGTTTTCACTAGCACGTCGCCCATGTCATGTCTAAATGTCTAAATAATGTCAGTGCGTCATGCACTTTCAGGCTTGCATGACTCAAAAGAAAAGCTGTTGACAGCATGTCAGAATGTTTCTGACTCATTGACAAACGGATTTATCGGATCTCTAATGGCCCTTGAATTCAGATGCCAATTGATAAATTCCTCTGTCACAGCTGTCACAGCTGCTACTATTGGCCAGATAGACCGGACAACTGCCGGGTCTTCTGCTTTATTCTCGTTGTGCCAGTTTGTGGTGTTGATGAAGAAGCCCACCGAAGAGCTCTATCCTCTAACCATTGCCTTGCAACCAGCCTGAATTGCCTCTCTACACCGAACCTGCAACCCACAACTTGACCCAGAATGTTCACTACTAGCTAGTCTATGATGATGAGTTATGTTTTTGTAGTTTGGCTGTAGCTTTGGGCTACGCTTGATCCTCAACAGACAACAGTCCAGCCAATTTTGGAGTTTTTGGTTTTACTGGGGAAGAGGACTACACTTGTGTAGGACTTGGTGGTGGGGAAGAGGCTATGTTGCAATGTTGCTTGGCCAGTAGGTTTCCTTTCGGCTACTTTTGCTGCTTTTCCTGCGCTCTCTATCTAGCTCTCTATCTACAGTAGCTAGTTGCTCAGTTGCAGCCGATAAGAGATAGGTTGCCTGTGAAGACTCGTTGACTGACTGATCATTGCCAGCTTTTATAATTTTTCATTCTAATAGCTAGCTAGATTATCCGAACTGTAGTTGGTAGGAAGGTCCGGCGCAGAGGGGAAGCTCATGATCAGTACTACCTTCCAATTACGATAGTCAAGCAATGCTTCTTCAACAGAAGCTTCAAAGCTCGGTCAGACTACACTTCTCCCTTGGTAGATGCTGGACATGTCGCTACTGTTGTTGCTATTGCCAGTGTTGAAGAGAACGCCCTCTTTGAGTGAAAAGCAAGCAAGCTAGCTAGTTTCTCCGTCGGTTCGGTTGGCTGTAGTACAACAGTGGAAAGTGCGCAACTCCTCGTACACCATCTCCAGTAGCTAGCTAGTAGGCACTGTATCTGGCTACTTGCTTGCCCAACAGCGAACAGGACACCATGTCTCAGCATTGCTTTGGCTGCAGTGGCATAGCAAACCGCAGCTGCCTAGCTACTCTAGGAAAGCTGTTTTCTTCTTTCTAGCAAAGAATAAAACACAGAAAAGAAAGAGGGCAAGAGGCGATGTCACCATGATGATCGGAGCTGCAGCGAGTGGTTACAGTGCAAAGCAAGAAATCAACCAGCGGCTGTCGACTGCATCGACAAGTGGCTCCATCTGCCAAGAAATTGGATTATTTGCTCGCTGGTGGTAAAAGGAGCTGAAAGGTCAGGAACGGGCGGACGAGCAATGATCTGCTGCTGCAACGGCTGCCAGAGCATGTCTTAGCACACCATCCCCAACCACGTTCTTGAACAGATTCAGATGTAGTTTCGTTGTCCAAGGAAATCTGCATTCCTAGGAACGGAGCAAATCATGCCTGCCACGGTACACAGTAGCGTCTCTTACACCATCTCCATCAACGTTCTTGAACAGATGCGATTTCGGTGGCTGGGGTCCAGGAAATCTGTATTGCTTGTTCCTTCCCCTCAACTATTAATACCAAGCCAAGCCAACAAACGAGCCACGACGAAGCCAATGACAAGCTGCGATGCATAGCTAGCTAGGCTAGTGACCAGAAACAACCAGCGGCCAAAACAAATGCGTCAGCACCCTTGCGATACCCCACGAACATTACTTTCTCTGTTGTTTTGGCTCCTTTTCTATTCTGTTCCACCTCGACGAAGCTTGGAGTTGTGGAAATCGGATGGTAGTCAAAAATGTGAGAAAAAGAAGGGCTTATATGAATGATGCAAGCTTCTTTTGCCAAAGATACTTAATGATTAGTTTTCTTTGAAATATCACTTGTGACATGATGAATTTAGATTTGGGAGAACTACAAGTCTGTTAATTCCTTAAAAACAACCAGTGACCATTTGCGAATGTTCTGATGACTATTCTGTAATGACTGCATGACTTCTGCGATGACTTGAACGATGACTTCTACAATGACTCCTACGATGACTCCTACTATGACTGCTGCCGAAAGCAACCAACCATCCAACCCAAAACCGTGATCACTTACTTGTTCACTTCTTGTTGCGTTTCGTAGCAACCCAGCCAGGTAACCACCACTGAGCACGGAGTCTTCAAGACCAACCGGTTGGCATCTCCAAGCAAATATTTACAAGCAAGGTAGCTCCAGGAACTGAATGTCACTCCAGAAGCGATCTTGCTGAGGCTGATCTTGTTGAAGGCTTGTTGAAGGGGAAGCAAGGGTGCAAGCAACCTAGCTGGCCAGCAAGGTTCCTTTGAGTCAAGTCGAGCCCGAGCCGACCTTTGACCTGACGTCTGGGTTGTTGACCATGGCCGACCTGCCGTCGTTGTTCGCTGAAAGTTGGAAATTTTGGATTGAATATCAAGATACTACTTGGCAATGACGCAAGTGCGACGCCCATCGGCGGCCAAACCAAGAAGCTGCCAATGTCTGTGTTGGTTTCTCCTTTTGGGGACTCTCTTTTGGCTCGTGACAGAACATGACATTCCGGATCACCCCTCTGCGGTGCCAGCCCCATTCATGGCGAAAAGCTTCGATATGTTGGCTATGAGGAACAGTAACAACAACAACAATGACGTCATTGACAATGCTCCCGTGGATCCTACCAAAGTGCTGGACGAACCGCACATTTACCAATACCGCAGAAACTGTCATGGCGAACGTCCCACGTTGGCGTCCATCCAGGCATGTTATCCCGATGCTACCCTCCATTTTGGACAGCAAACCCACAATAATCCACCATCTTCTTCTTCGTGTGACCAATATCCACAGGACCAACCATTGACGTGGTCGTTTGTGCAAGAGTGTCTAGCGGGACGACACACTTCAACCAACAATAAAATATCCCAAATTCACGTCATTGGAGAACGCAACAGTGGCACCAAATGGTTGCAACAGGAATTGGCGCAGTGCTTTCCAAAATCTGTGGCACGAAGTCATCGTGATTTTTTACGCAGCAAACATTTTTTTCAACCGCCCGTGCGAGGCATGCTATCAGAAAGTCTCGTCATTGCCATTGTCCGGTCCCCGGACGAATGGTTGGCGGCCATGCGGGAAAAACCCTATCACATGCCGTTTCATATGAACGGATATGATAGCATTACTAATAAAGTGATTCCCTTGGACTGGGACGAATTTACCAAACGACAAACGTGGACCATGCCGCTACCACACCAGGAATTTCCACCCAAAGAAGGCAGTTGCGTCCAGGGATTCTCCTTTACGGAAGTATCACCGTGTTTGTTTAATGACACTAGTATTGTCCCACGCAACAAATGGAGAGGACACATGCCCGTGTACGAATTGCAGCGCGATGGGTCGGGAATTCCCTTTTCGCATTTACTGGACTTGCGCGCCGAAAAAATTCTCAATTTTGTCTTGGAAGTGCCACTGTTGATGGCATTGGGGGGATTTCTTGCCGTGCGATACGAAGATTTGGTAAAACATGGTACGCAGGGATTTTTGGAACAAGTGGCGCACTTGTTGGATCTTCAATTGCCATCATCATGCAAACCACAGCCACCTCGTCCCGAACGATTGGGGCGACGGACAATTCCATCCAAGGTGCGAATGTGGATGGAAGAACGGTTGGTGTTGGAAACAGAGCAATTGTTGGGGTATCGGTGAAACAAAATAATAAAACAATCCAATAAAAAATCAAAGAATCGAATCGGTGCAGTGTGGTGCGTGCTCATCATCATCCATTTTCTGTCGTGTGCAGCACCGCGGAAACGGTCCGTGGAAAGAGCCAACGGTTTGTATTGATGCGATGTGGAGCAATCGACAGATTTCCACGATTTATTTTTTCCGCGACGGATTCCATTCTGTGGAAGCATACCCACAACGGACTTCACACAAATTGAGAAAGTCAGCGTTGTGCTTCCAACAACAATATCAACAAAAGAGAATCGAATCATGTCGCACAAGCGCATCGACTGGGACAACATCAAAAATGTATCGGACTTGAAGGAGATTTCTACTGTCCATTTGCTCGCCGTTCACGATGCCCCGCTGGATGTGCTAAATGCTGCCTTTCATCAGATGCCTGGCAGCTTGACGGTAGATGTTTTTCGGGATGCTTTCCAATACGAAGCCAAGCCGGAAATACTGTTATTTTTTGGCGGATATGCTCGATTACCGCTACGATCCAGAGTTACTCGATGAGCTGCCATCAATGTTGCTCGAGTCCATGTTGAAGGAGAACGTCGACACGTTGTGGGTCCAGAATGTGGTCGATTCGTTCCCCATGGGTACTTTCTGGAACCTCACTTCTGACGCCGAGGCTATTAGTCCCTTGCATGTGTGTTTGGACAAACGGTACTGCTCATCTCTGGCAGATCGCATGATAAATGGCTTGCCGAACACAACAACAACAGCAACAACAACAATCAACTTTACTCTGCCAAGAGAAATGGATACTCTACGCATCAGTAGCATCCATGCCAGCTCCTTGGCCAAACTCTTGACAAAAGTCAATCGTGTCACAAGCAATCGCCGGCTTTGGAGCCGAAAGGAGTTGATGGAGTTGATTTCTGCATTCTTTCAAGAAAAATGCAGTGTCACAAGGCTGGACCTTGTGATCCCTGCAATGGTTTCAAATCTCCCAGAGTTGAGTGATGATCCAAGGGCGTTGCAGAGACTAAAATCATGCCCCATCACTGAGGTCAACTTGAATTTCATCTCAGATTTTTCTGACATAACCAGTCTTTCCTTTGATTTCTTGACTGTGGTGTCACGCATGGATAATCTCAAGAAATTGACTCTGCGTGTTGATATCGATGGAGACGATGATGACGACGACGACGACGATGATGCCTCTGTTCATTTGGACCAGAGACTTTGTGAGGCTTTGTGTGAAATCATCATTTATGGTTTGCAGACGCTCTCCGTTCACCTAGATGGTGGGTGTAAGGGGACCCAGGAGTGGTGGTTCTCCATCATTGATGCTGCTGGAAGTAGCCGAACCCTTACAGAATTTCTGCTTGCGGGGGTCAACGAACAATCAGGGGCGTGTCTGGAACGACTCCTACCATTGCTGGCAAATAACACCACTGTTGAGGAAGTGATCATATCTGACAACAACTGTGAGGGTGGAACTGAAGATACACGGGAAATGCAACACAAGGTCAATTACTACACCACATTGAACCAATACGGCCGTGGTTTGGCACGAGATCCGGAGGGTTCTGTTTTGAAATTTGCAGAGAAGCTGTTTGCTTTGCATGATGCCCAGCAAAGCATTGGCTCTTGGACCACTTCATTGTTGTATGATTTGCTTCGAGATGCTCCTGACAAGTGGAGTGATCATATAGCAAGACCTGTAGGCTCGAGAAGTCGCAAGCGCAGAGCACACGGAGATTTGAGGAATGGATTGGTTTACTATGGCACAGCGTGACGACCTCTTGCTGGTGATCCAATGCACCGCAAGATGTTCCGAGGAACAAATTTAGGAAGTCACCGACTTCAACAGAACAGTTAGTGATGCTGGCTGTTGATAAAAAAGAATATCGTGCTATTAGAGAAACCTTCTTTCGTCCTTGTAACCATTTGGTCCGCCAACTAGCTAGCTAGCCCTCGCCAGCAGGGTTGGTTCGGATGAACTGTCACCCTTTGTCCCGTACCGGTATGGTACTTGATATCTCATTCATGGAACACTGCCCATGATAGCCACCGGTTAGTCTAACAATAGCGAGTATTTGACACCCCCTGTCCGTGATAGCCACCAACAAGCACCTTGGCTGCAGCGCGCCGGTAGCAACGGCACTTTTTACGTTTCTGCTGGCTTGATTGATGCAGCGAATGATGAATTTCCGAAAAAGGCTGATGGTGGTGTTGAAAAGAGGTTGCTTATAGTTGTGTTACTACTTGGTAGTTGTACAAGCCAGAGAAGGGAGAGATGATGGTTCAGCATTTCCTGCTGAATCCAGGATCCCTGGGAAAGTCAACTCAGTATCTTGGAGATTCAGTCAAGGAGTACAAACTCCCTGGCGTTGACAAAACATGTTGGTCAATGGGATATGAACAGTATGTCAAGGAATCTGTCAGAAATGTGGAGAAATGGCTCGAGCAACGTGGTAAGACGCTCAAGTCAAAATCAACTTCAGTGTTACCGATCAATTACACCCCGGAGTTAGATGTTTCAAACCTTTGTTATGACGAGTGGACAAACTAATTTCAACAGCAGATTGGAGTTCTGCGATGGGCCGTGGAACTCCGGAGAATTGACATCTGCACCGGGGTTTCAATCATGGCTTCTTACTAAGCTGGAACCGAGTATCCACGAGTGGCGCACAATCCAACTGGACTGTGTTTACGATATCTTGCGCATATCGTCAAGCACGCACCAGTGCCGTTCTCACCCACTTACTGATTCTTTTGCAATCCTTTCCTACTGTAGATCTGAAGGTGTGGAACCAAAAGAGCGACAATAGAACTAGGATGGATTTCTAAATAGACTCGATCGACCGCGAAATAAGAGCTTTTCTGCCTCCAGACCAGCATGATCACTCGACAATGCCTTTAAACCGAAGCCTCTCATCGGGCCCAAAAACCTCCAATGCACCAAAAATCACTATGCTTTGTGGATTCGTTGACCAATGCATTGATCCAGCTCGGTTAGACTGGGGATCATTCAGGGATAGACTCCATCAAAGTTCGTTCATTCGAGCTGGTACGAACTGAGGATAGTAGCTCGTCCTGTTTGCTAACATGTATCCAATTATTTGGTACAGCAAAAAGCAGGGCTCCATTGAAAATTCCTCCTTTGGATCTGATTTCGCGGCGATGAAGGTTTGAATCGAGATCGTGGAGGTCTTGCGGTACAAGCTCAGGATGATGGGCGCATGTTGCTCCGCTTCGTATGGCGCCGGCTCAGCGCTCATTAAGGGTGCAGGGTCGTGCGGACAATATGATCCGTTTGATCAAGAACGGGTTCCTGTGAACACCATGTTCGGCCCCGGAGTCTACTCTGAAGAAAAAGAGCAACTCGGTCGCATATCACTATGTCCGTGAAAGAGTAGCTGCAGGAATGGCAAACAGCACTTATGAGAACCAAGAGAGCAATTTGGCCGATTTGTTGACGAAGATCCAGAACGGGCCTGTGAGAAAGCGACTGGTTTCGAAAGTCATATACTAACAATCTGCAAAAAAGGCAACATGACCATAGGGTGGTCCGTTTGGTGAACGGCAGGTCTGAGCCTCCCAGGGGCCATGCCCCAAGGGTAAATCCTGTTTCAGACTTCCCAAGTCTGTTTTTCCCATGTAAAGTGCAATCTAGCGTGAGTTAGATCCCCCTCTAGCTTGAGAGGACCGAAAATGACCTGTGGTAGCGATTTATGACTTTCCAGTTACCAGATTACTAAAATCAACCACACA